ACAAAGTAGCTTGTCAATATACAAATAATGTATTTCACTAAGGACACCGGTTACTGTCCAAGAGGTCCTAAATATTTAATAAAAATTATCGGGTAACTTTGAGCAAAATATCGTGATTTGTCGGTGGCGAGCAAATCAATCATATCCTGAAGTAGAACGCTGAGGCTAAATTTACTTAATCTGTGAGACACTGAGAAGTCACGATATTTAGTGAAAACCGAGTTCAATAGTTGTTTTATCATTGGATGAGTGAGTAGGTTTTTCACAATTTATTTTTGGGACTCGAAGATCGAGTCTTGCCTCGCTGAAGACAGAGATAATCATAACTTTGCCCTGAGTGACAAGGGCTGGTATTCATTCAATTCTTTTGGTCTAGCTGGTATTCGAATCAAACTACTCTCGCAGAACTCTAATTCAGAGAGGTAGATCACGACTAGGCATAAGCGGAACATTACTTGCTGCAAAGTCACTGCCAGACGGTAATACACATGACCAGACATTATGTGTACAGTATTCAGTATTTTCAGACCCGTGGTGGGCTGACAGTTAATAACAGAAAGGAAACAAAAAATACATCAAATAATAAATGTTGTTATCTGTACATTTATCTGTAAACTGCCACCCTTATCACTGGATAAGACACTGCACGAAAGACTCAATTACTCATTTCTTATATTGTAAAAAAAAAAAAGCCGAGTTTGTTGGCTAACTCCTTCACTAGATCACTGTACTGTATTCAGCTTCACCGAAATTTTTAATATACATGTATATAATATTGGCTGAGTTAACGTTATGGAGTAAGCCTTTTTTACATATAGAGTGTAACTCCGTTAATACGGTCACCAACGGGCGATGAAAATTTGGCCGTATTAACGGGATACGGTCAAATTNATACATCAAATTATAAATGTTGTTATCTGTACATTTATCTGTAAACTGCCACCCTTATCACTGGATAAGACGCTGCACGAAAGACTCAATTACTCATTTCTTATATTGTAAAAAAAGCCGAGTTTGTTGGCTAACCCCTTCACTAGATCACTGTACTGTATTCAGCTTCACCGAAATTTTTAATATACATGTATGTAATATTGGCTGAGTTAACGTTATGGAGTAAGCCTTTTTTACAAATATAGTCTAACTCCGTTAATACGGTGACCAACGGGCCATGAAAATTTGGCCGTATTAACGGGATACGGTCAAATTTCATGACCGATCTAAATACCCCAGTCCCTCAATGAGACACGCGTGAGGGAAATCATGGCAGTTGTACGTGGTGGCCGCATCAACGGGGTTTTCTTATTAGAAAATGTATTGGCGTTTCGTCGGGCCAAAAAAAGGTGGCCGTAATAACGAGGTGACCGTAAGACGGGGTTTCACTGTAACTGGGACTGAATTTGGTAACGTGAAAATTGTGCAGTGCAAGAGGGTAGAATGTTGTACTTACCATTCCCCCTGCAAATCCTGGCAGTCCAGATTTTCCCTGGTTTCCTTTTGGACCCTTAAAACGTATAAAATGTCACAGAGATTATGATAATTGACGAGATGATCACAAGGAACGTCGACGTTTAATAGATCCAAAGCAGACGAGAATAAACGCACAAAGGTCAGGGGAAGAACTAAAGGGGGGGGGGGGGGGGGGGGGG